TGCGCTCAAAACGGCTGAAAATAGGAATTTCCAGACGAGCTGTAGTGAAAGTCTTCAATGTGGAATAAAAAAAAATATATTTTGTTCAACCGTTCAGGCGCAGGTATGGGGGTCGGGCGGACGGAAACATTCCCTCAACGTAAGTCGTTTTTTCCCTTTACTTCGTAAAGAACGCCTAATAATCGATTCGCAGTGCTGCAGTACCACGTCATGGCAGGCGATAAGACGATAAGTCGCCACCTGATAACATACAAGGCAGGCCTCGTGCTTGGCGCAGCAGTCCCTAAGCAATTCGTACTCCAGCACTCGCTACGCCTGACTACGCCTAGTTTTAAATAACATTTCAATGTTAATTAAATTAATCAGGCACCACGCCACTAATAGGTATATCAAAGCAGTGGATTACTCCATGCATACTTAACCTTAACACTAACTGGCCATAAGTGGTCAGCTTCGTGCTCTGGCTGCTTTAACCCTGTGGCAAAAAGAAAAATCTCCATCCAGTGCCCAAAACCGAACCTGAATCTAGTTTGTAGCCTAGTCACTATGGTCGCTATACTGACTGACTTATTCCAGTAACTTGAGTTGTGTCAGGATATTGGCATAACATTCTGATATTTAGAACTCTCAAATACGCTGTTACCTTCAAATTTTCCTGGCAAAAATTTGTCTTCTTTGCATGCTGCATGCTCTGCCCACACCACCCTCCTCAATTTGATTGTGTAGTAAACATACTATACTCCTCACATTGCAGTTTATCTGTTACTTCCTCCTTAGGTCCAAATATTCTCCTCAGCACCTTATTCTCAAACGCCCTCAATTTGTCTTCTTAATGTGAGAGGCCAAGTTTCATACCCATATAATGCAACAGGTAAAAGTTATGTATATTTTAATCTTTATGTTTTTAGATAGCAAAGAGGAGACAAAATATTCTGAACTGTAGCAAGCATTCCCTATGTTTAATATGCTGTCACTTTCTTCATGAGAGTAATGAAGGCAGGGAAAATGTGTACAGTTCATGGAGATGAAAGACTGTAGCCCACCATAGATACTTTGAGGTTTTCCTACCACTGACCCTTCCTTTAATGGAAATGATGCCAGAAGAAATATCTGTTTATTTATTTACTTCATATCCATGGATCATTATACAAGTGGTAGCTGTCTCAGACAAGTTTCAAACCAGGCACCTCCCACAAGAAAACTTCAAAACAGCTATTTTCCAGACTAACATTCAAACACAAGATACCCTGAATACAAAGTAGCAGTATTAAACTTTACATACATACATATTCATTTCATTAATCCAACATTTGTCCATCGACGGATGAAGATGAAATATGCCACGAGATGTATGTTGCACAATGCAACTTGAGCGAAAGAGACATTAAACAATAATATATACACCGTGCATAAATGACAAAGTAAGTATAGAATGCAGCTTAATGAAATATAAGTGCATAAAAAGTCGACAATACAAAAGCTAAACATGATTAAAAAAAAACCTTTATATCAGTTCTCACACAAGTTTAATCATGCACGTACGTTACGCGCTATGAGCACAAAGAGTACATAACTAAAACGAATGGATCAGGGTCTTCCCCGAGCAGTTGATTTTTACACACCTGGACAAGAAATTTCTTGCCTTTAATCCTTAAAGCATAGTGGTTACTATATGTACCACTTCCTTTAAAATTTAAAGACTGCCCTTGACACATAGATTGTATTTATAACAATAAAGAGTGACTGCATTAAATTGGTTAGAACTTCTAATGGCTATACAATGTTTTTCCTGTGACATAAGAACTGAATTCTTACAAATTACTTGGGCAAATATCACGCTTAACTACCAATGTGACACAAATAATTACAACTTCTTTATTAAAACCGTCACAACACAACTATATCAAGGTCAGTGCCTAGTTTTGGCTCAGCTATATGTTTCGGCTATTATTATTTATAAATAATAAAATATTAATTATGTCTTCATTTTCTGATATAAAAAAACCAGGCCTAGAGATTTACGTTGGACCCAGTTTTGATGCCTCATGGTGGCTGTACTGGCAACTTCAGCTAGAATACAGACAACCTCTGCCATCTGTCTCTTCAGGCTTTAGACAATTGGCTAGCAGATGGCGGTGAGGTTGTCAGCCTTACGCACCAGCCACCCTTTACCCCCTAGCAAGATTCCTGGTACTCATTTCTGTTAGAGACTGAATCGATCCCAGGGCCATAGTGCAGCTGGAAGGATTACGTCAACTGAAAAAAAAATTCCACCTCATTGGGACTCAAACCTGCAACCTTCCAGCTTGTAGCATAGTGCCTCAACCAACTACACTGCCGCATGCCCCTGAAAATAGTTAAAGAAATTGAACATTCATGACCATCTGATGCAAAGCAATACTGGGGGAACCAGACGTCATGATTGAGCAACTAGCACTTATGTCTTATCTGAAATATGCTAAATTGAGATTTTGGCCCAGATACTATCTCGACAGACTTTCTGTAGCTTTCCTTAGTCCCTCCAGGCAAACACTTTTACATTATCTCACATTACAACATAATTAGGCCTATAAATTTAATGCTATACGTGCAATCTGCAACTAGCATGAGTTCCACCAACCTGAATTCAGTTTAACAAGGTACGTGAAGTAAGGCCAGTTTCCAACTGGCTTTTCATTTTAGTGTGATGCCTTAATTGTATTACATTACATAATTTCTTACAGGAAATTCTTGTCCAACACGATTTCAATTAATACAAAATATTTTTAAAACATGCTTACATTGTAAATCAGCGACTGGGTGTACAGTATAATCTTTGCAAATGGAACAGTGTCATTAAATCAACCAAGAATAAAATAAAACAGTAATATTAAATAATTGTCACCGATTCACCGTCTTACATGCAATGCATCCTTCTAAAACTTATTTAAAAGTTTATTACATACACACAATGTGTCTTTTAAACCTTAATCTCACTCTTTAGGTTTCAGTCATCCTAGCAAGAATGGATGAACAGTATAAATTGTAAAGTTCCTCCCCATGTGATTTTCTCAATTCTCCTATTATCCCTTCTCTCAACTCCAAATATTGTCCTGAGCATTTTGCTCCCAGACACTCTCAATTTGTTCTGAACCAAGTCACATACACATAAGACAATTTTAGGATTTTAACTGTGTGGTAGTTATGTATTTCCTAAATACAGTTAATTTACCTTACATACAGGCCTAATATTAAAAATACCCAGTTATCTGGTATTCTCTTCAAACTGGCAAATATTTAAAAGAAAATTTACCATCTTTTTATGAAGATAGTGAAGGACAAATTTGCCATGTGCATATGTTCACCCACTGCTAGCTGAATCTGTGATCACATTACAGTGTATGTATCTGAAATTAATCCGTTATTTTTTCTGGGAAGACTCCCATGCAAGGACTAAAGCAAAAATGCATAGTATTGTCTTCGTATTGGGTTTCTGACAAGCTCTTCACAGACATATTCATATAACAAAGAGAACTTTGCTTCAGTAGCAACAACTTAATGCCTCTTCAAAATTTCACTAGTACATAATGCTCCTCATAAACCTGTCTAATAGCTTGTCCATTAGTAGTCACTTGTTGCATTCTGATACATTTTTAAAATGTCCTGTCTTCTGACTGGCTTTGTAAACATAACAGAACATGAAAGAATGGTTTCTGTGGACCAGAATATGTGCCACCCCGAGTACAAAATGAAAACAGACTCATACAATTCCTACCTGTTGTATGTATGTAATGTGGATCCCATTAAGGTGGACAGTATTAATTACAGCTGAAAAGCAATTTCATGAGACAGACCTTCAGATAAATGAAGGAATAACAATGGGATAAGCAGAATTATATTACATGTAGACAGCCTTATGCATAACAACTGAAAATGTCACGAATGTGTTAGTATATCTCAGACGACAACAAAATACGTGTACTAGGACATCGATCTGGACAGAGAATCACAGAGCTCTATGTGACAGGAGTAAGGAAGGTCAGGATGAGTGACTATATCCTGAAAGAGAGAAAAAAAAATGCATACTATGCTACACCTATTCCCTTATTAAAAAAAATAAAAAAACTTCAATTTAATTCAACTAACATTAATAAATTTTATTTTTATATACAGCCAACTACATGCTTATGATACACGATATTTTATATACAGATTATACAACAATTACAGTACATACATTATGTACACTGAAGGCAAATTAATGTCTATAATATGACATCATTAACTAATACACAAGAGATATTTTCTGTCAAATATGTAATAGGATTGTAGGGGTTTGACCCAAAATGGATGAGAAAAAGGAAGTAGAACACACACACACACAAAATATATATACATATATATAGTTTTAGCACTGCACTTCAAACCCCCCAACCTTACTCCCACTTCCTCCTCCTACTCCACTTTCACCCTGGAATTGGCGACTGCAAAGTACATTGAAACAATGGATGAGCATCAGCACATGACATGGCAGAACCCCAAGTGTCAAAGTGACATATCCGATACGGGCTTCAAAAACTCTCAGGACACAAATATAAATTCATTATATCTGAGTAACTGACACCATGGAGCAAAGTCCTCCTTAAGAATACATGAGTTGCTCAACTGTTCAAGAAATTCCCTGCATTTACAGAACATGAAAGTTCACTACAAAGTTCAAAAGACTATTAAGCCTTCATAGAACAAGACTTAATGAATTTAAGACAATTCTGAAGGGTTCTGACAATGGTGTATAAGTTTCCATTACCAAGTTCTGGACTTGTCCACCATCCAGCATTCTAAAGAACAGAACGTTTTGGAAACCAGATCCATTTCTGTTCTCAGGTTAATGGGTGGGAAGCACTTAACTCTATGAAGTGCACCAAAAAGAGCTAACTTCAGTCACTGGTCCAGTGATTGAGGTTAGCTTTTGCTAATGGAACCAAGGGGATAGGTGCCCTCTCACCCTATCGCCTGAAGACAGAAACAGATCAGGTCTGTGAAACACTGTGTTCTTTAGCATACCAAATGGCAGACAAAGCCCAAAAACTTAGTAACCCCAAACATTTCTTTATATTTTCTTTCAATCCTTTATTGTAGTTTGGCTGAAGATCAAGATGAACACTTGGGGTTCTTTTTGCTCTGGACAAGTATTCAGTTCTCTGCCTTGTTCAAACCTTATTTTTTAGGGTTGTTGAAGTGAAACCTGTTCAGTGACATTCCACTGAAGCACCAATAGATGGGATCCTCTTTGCATGGAACACCTTAGGCTGCTGCTGGTTCAGCTGCACCACTGCAACGTTGATGTCTTCATCCAAACACATGAATGGGTTACATCGGAACAAACTTTATACACGAAAGAACTGAAGGGAATGTAATTATCCACCAAACAAGAATCACCTTATATCACAAATAATTTAACATCACAACTTTGGCAGTGTGTTATAACTGTCTTCAGCATGTAATATTTACAGTCAGCTTCATTACAGTGCAACCATCTGCTCAGTCAAATGTCAGAGGGATAGAGGAGAACGGGAGAACAGGATTTGATATTTCCACCTGCAGAGCAGTTGCCATGCAATCACTTGCAGTGTCAAATTCACCTAATGATTCCAACACCTTGCCTAAGTTGTACCTGAAATGGAAAACAATACAAATTTTATATTTCTTTTGTAATACATGTACCTAATATGCACATCACATTAAAAATAAGAAAACAGCTTACCATAATTTAAAACAAAAAACTTCACCTAACTCATGCTGCGGTCTGGATTATGACTCTGTGTACCTAACAGGTGGTGGCTACCAATGTTATGGGTGAACATACTGTCTCCATTCTCTTTTGACATCACCAATCCCTACCAGATAGCTGTAAGGTCCTGCCACATGCCACAAAACCCATGAATCTCCCTTTGCTTGGCTGAGGCCACTCACCATGTTTGATGGGAAGCAGGATCAATTCTGGCTGCATCCCTCAGAGTTTTCTCCGCTAATCTCTGACTTCCAAGGTAATGATAAATTAAACCCTGTTGATATAAAAAGTACAGTACAGCAGGAACCACAACACTGCTACATTAACACTCCAGAAAAATAAACATTATAATTCATCATTAAACCCCTTAAAGTTTCTGGATTCTTCCTCCAGCAGCCCAGGTTCAATCCCCAGATCAGTTTATGCACAAATTATGGTGAATAAAGTGGTGCCACAGCAGGTTTTCTCTGAATACTTCAGTTAAAGGTAAAGCTGTCCCTGTAACAGGCCATGAAGGCCTATAGGATTGTGAGAGTTTAAGGCTTCCACATCATGAGAATAATCTCAACACTCATGCCAGGAAATGAACCCTCATCATTCAGCCTGGAGCCTGTCACTTAACTGGCTATACTACTTCATTCATTTTCATGTTACAGCTTATAAAGAATTATACATTTCTACATTTGTTTCCACTCTTGACTGATGACATCATTTTTTGGTGCACTGGTCTGCTGACATTTCACATGGTATCAGCATTCAATAATGGAAAACAATACATGACGAGCTGTTCAGATGAAACCTGTTTGGGGACTGTTCTGGGAGTACATGTTGCTAAAGTAACTAGCATGGGTGAGGGGGCAGGGAAACCAAAGAAGTACCAGCTGATGAATCCCATCTGCAAAGAACTCCTTGGGCTGCTGCTGGTACCACTGCACCAGTGCAGCCCTGATGTCTTCATCCAACCCAAATCTATGGTTATTTTGTGCTTTCTTGAGGGGGTAGCCAAACAAGTGAATAGGTTTAATTTGAACAACCCTTATATACATCCATGCACCCACACATTTAATCCTTGTCTTGTGAGCAAGTTATGTTCCAAAGTCCCATCATGTGTCAAGTCATTTATAAGTCGAAGTCCTATAAGTGATGATGCAATTAGCAGTAGCTGAGTACTAAGCTTATGAACAGAGCCTATTTAATCTATAATACTGTATCAAATTATATGTCATTTCCATGTATGGATGTTAGTAGGTCAAGCATTCATATAGCAAGGACAAAGTGTGTGTGGTCTTATCTTTTTTTTGGNGGGGGGGGGGGTGGTGGAAGCAAATGTAGGATCCTAATTTCTGCAGATGGAACAGAGAATATGCCAAGGCCTGGTTACCAGGATTTTGTAGGAGTACTTTTTTTTAGAGAAAACTTTTCACCTAACATTTACAGAACATCAAAATAATTTTAAACGTCATACCAAATGCTGAAGGCTCTTTATGTGTGTTGGATTGATTGCAACAGCATTCTGAAAGTACAGTTTTGCTTCTACAAATTCTTGTTTATATTCATGGACCAGTCCTCTCTGAAACAGAATGAACAAGACTGCCAAAAGTCAAAGGCACATAAGATTTAACAAAGAGTTAAAACACTTTTAGTGACTATAATATTGCCAGTATAACTAAAATGGTTAGCTGAGGTGCGTTGGGAATATTGTCAGGACATCCTTTAACATCCCTTCCAGTAGTTCACACATAGAATCAACAGATGGCAGGGGTTTTACATTTCCATATGCCAAAGTATCTGGACTATGCACCTGGGTAGGAGGCTAGTCCAACCAAGAAAATGGAAGAATCTATTCATATCTTCTCCAGCTTAAGATGAGAACAAAATCCATTTCTGAAATAGTTTCTTCTTATTATTATTATTACTAACACTTTCACTCCCAGCAACTCTACAGCTAGCTCAATTTCAAGCCTGACATTTTTAGCAGGATACTAGCAGCTGATTGTACTTCACAGTAAGAAAATGAATTTCAAACAATCTATATAGATATATCAAAGAAATCACAAAATGTGGCTATGTGTGTCACCTAGTAGCACAGGTAAAACTACTTGTCCAAGCAATTTCAAAAAGAAAAATCGCTGATCTTATCCAAGCGAAGTTCTAAATGAACGAAATCTTCTGGTTTGGGCATGGCATCTGCAAATGGCTAAACTCATTTACAGGAGTGAAGATCTTAAAAATTAAGATGAATAAAGACCAAATAAACAGCCTGAAATGTTGTGACACACCACTGCCAAATAACATCAAACTTCACGTCAAATTTGACAATCAGCTGAGCAACTACCACCTGCTTTAGCAAGGTTACTTAGTCAAACACCTTACCATGTACATTATGTGGTGTGAAAGCGGAAAAATGGATGAAGCTTCCTGGATGCAAGCCATGGCTGCAGGAACTTGTTCCAGTGAGAGATAAATCTCTGCCAGCAGCAGCCAGATTTGAAGCTGCAGTAACCACGCTCGCTGTGGACCAGGGCGAGGAGTGAAGGAACTGAGTGATGAAGCTACTTCTGACAATGCTTGCTCCACACGTGAAGCTGCCAAGGAATGTGCATGTAAAGAGCCTAACAGAATAAATCACAGCACCGGATTATAGACAACGTTCAGACAACATGATATAAAAATATTAGTATATAAACAATAGAAACCTAGACATCATGGGACAAAGCAGTATACAAGAGATCACATTTTGCAGTGGTTCAATATATAAACAGGAATTCAGGCAAAAGTAAATATACAGTTTTATAACAATTGACACATATACTGAATATTTTAATTTCTCTTTTGTTTAAAGAAACACAATGGGAGCTCACTCTGTTTTGCTCCTTGGCTAGAAATATAAAATATAGGCTGCTGGATCCAGTACATAAAGTTCATTGCTATTTTCAGTCTACCTAATGGACTGAACACAGAAGACTTAATATTTTTCTGTGAAAATTATGCATTACTCCAAATTTTATTAATAGATATTTTTGTTTCATGCTCTTCAAAGAAATCACATGGTGGTGGAGTCTATAGGCACAAATTTCCAGACACTCTGTATAGTTCCTCCTCACATTTAATAAAATATATATCATATCCAAAAAGTATAAAATGAAAGTTTTGAATCTTATATTTTTTTATATCATGTATATATTCTTTGAACACTAAGCTGTCGCTGGGAGAACGTAAAAAGATTGTTCTGAGTCACACGCAAAGTGAACTGAGAGACAAAATGTGGCAGAAAACCTTCAACATAAACTGCAGTACTAAATTTCAACAAAATGTATTCAGTATTTTTAGAGATGAAACAGTCTGGATAGATGGACGGACACAATATGCCTATTATGTATTCAATTTATATACTTTGTGGCAAAAAGATCACCAGAAACATATTTTGAAGATCTGCATAAAATGGTAAGACAAGACCAACATTGAGATCATTTTATATTCAGAACAAGAGAATATTCAGCACTGAATGTCACAGTTATCATTACAATGTCAACTCTACTTATATGATTTCAGTGCAAGGAAACAAAAGCAACACTTGAAGAAAGCAGTCTTCTGGGATTTGGCACCATGTATATGTGGTGTTAACCTACGTTTCGGAGGAACGTATCACCTCCATCTTCAGGGTAGAAGAAAAAGCGAAGAGACCGTGAGAACCGGTAAAAGCAGACCAGTCTGCTTTTACCGGTTCTCATGGTCTCTTCGCTTGCTGATTTCTTATATTTCTCTTCTACCCTGAAGATGGGGGCGATACGTTCCTCCGAAACGTTGGTTAACACCACATATACACGGTGCCAAATCCCAGAAGACTGCTTTCTTCATAGTCACCGCCGTGAAAGCCTCAAATCTTACAAAAGCAACACTTCTTTCCAGGCAACTGCACATATTGGTTAGCAAAACCACACAATGTGTACTTTAGAGGATAAGGGATGATGACACACAATTCAGTAACTAAGGTTCTACATTCAGTCTATTTATAGAACTCTGCCAAACACATGAATTTTGTTTTTGGGAATATGACGCCATGTAGTCTGGCATACAGGTACCAGTACCATGTAGCCTAGTAGACAGTTATGGCATCACATTTGAGAAGGAAGTAATCTTCAAAATCACAGACAAGGAAACCTCAAATCTCACATGAATTTTAATACTCTGAATGCAGAACTAATATGATAAATAATCAGGTTACCTGAAAAATCCAAACTTGAGCCATTGTACATGATCTGTCATCTAAACAACTGATTCAGTTATAATTGCTATTCTACCTAGAAAGCTGCTACAGATCTTAGTGAAACTGGTAATCCCATGCACATCATTTCAAAATAAATACCATACTTCCCAGTGTATAATGTGTATAATAGTATCCGAAGTCAAAATTAACATTTTGACTAAAACACTTTTTGAGCTTTTTATTTAGCAAACAAAATTTATTACTTATTAATTAATTATTACAAATTTATATATTTATATACAACTTCTTAACCATGGTTCTAATATTTATGTAGTTTATGTTCATTGTTACTTTCCATGCATGACACACATCACAGTTTTCGGTATATTTTAGAGGGAGGAGGGAAACCTTGTCTTACACACTGTGAAATATGGTATATACATCCGTTAGAAAGAAAAATTTAATGCNTTAACCGTGACTTCCATCCCCACCATTAGCCCGGATAATCGAGAGTTGACTGTATATGAACATAGAATAATGACATTAGGATTTCAATACAGACAAAAAATATTCTTGAAAATTAACATGAGAGTTCTGTGCCTCATAAACTGGAAACAGGGAACTACAGTAAAAAGAGACATCTACCAGTCTCTAAATATAACAGAGACAGTTTTGAGGAGTTTTTTTTTCAAGTATTTATATTTGCATACACAGTGGAATCACTATTTACAGAGGCAAATGCTCCAGTCTGGTTAACAGTGTGCCACCAGACCACTAAATATAATAATGCTTTCTCTTCAGCATTCAATAAACTCTCTTACTTGCAATAAGCTGTATGTAATAGGGTTTCTTTTCTTTGTGCACACTGTGCCAAGGAAGCAGATTCATTGCATGACTATAGGCCTCAAAAACTGTACATCTGTACATGCATCATCAAAAAGAGAAAGAATATAGTTCTATCGATACTGCCAGGTCATGTGACTGTATTTCTGCATGTTTTGACTTCTAGACCAGGATTCTCCACTTCTTGTTCAAGGTTTTCCTTCATTTCAAATTCAATCGTTATGGTTAGAGCCCAATAATCTCTATCTTTCCTCTAGTTAAAATCTGACTAAATTCAGAACTCAAGACAGCATTTCCTCATAGAAAGACCATATCACCCCCTCCCCGAGATAAACACTTTATGTAACTCTCACTTCAATTATAAAATGGCGTTATCAGACTGTACCTACAATTTCCTCTCAATTCAAACTCATGGATTTTTAAAGAGTTTCAGTCCTATCAGAGTCCACAGGCCACTATTGATTCAAGGCAACATTTATGTTCTGGACAGCATAAGACTTGACAAAATCTTGACATATCTTGTTCCACCCCACAAGCCGTATAAAATCTCCTTGAATATTCCAAACAAATAAAGAGTACAGCATGCAAAGATGGTGACAAAACAGAGTCAAATAAGATCTTGTTCCTGTTATCACATTTTTTTAACAATATGTTAACCATATATAAACACAACCGAATCCAAAATGTCAGGAACACCTCTTATATTCACGCTGCCACAGCATGTTGGCTGACAGGCATCAGTCTCTGGTTCAGTCCCCTTTTCAGGTAACATAACTAAACCAGACTAATTTAAGGTTTGTCTCATATTCTCTACACCTACAAGTGCACTCTCTAATAACACTTCTGACAGAAGTAACAGATTGTGTATACAATTAAACATTAAAGATGAAAGAGTGCAAGGCATCAATTATAATTGATGTTGAATAATTATTCAACATTTGGTAGCCAGTTCTCTTCTGAATGCTGCTATAGTATGTCTGTGCACACTTACGCAAAATGTGCTGGTTCAGTAATGTACAGTGCTCAGGTTTTTTTGTTCATGCCAGTGTCAGGCTAGAAGTACAAGTATGTTCATGCATGTGTGAATCAAACAGAACAGTGGTCTTCAAACTGTATTTTGCAGAGCTTCAAAGCCTGGGAGAGATCATAAACATAAACATGTCAGTCTTCATTTATAACTTTTTATACATTCTGACAGCTCGGTTAGTAGTGATCAATGACAAATTAGAACGCTGGGGTATGAATATTGGCATTAGTTGAGAGAATTCTTCTCTTAATCAATAAACACAGGATACGACTGAGATGAACCACACCTTCTACTTAATTGGTAAAGTTGTGAGAAAATGAAAACTGACAACTCACTGCTATGTAGTGGTAAGATTTGATATGCATGAAGTTTACCTTCATATCATCACCACACTTTTATGGTATGGCAGAGGGGACAAGCTGATTTTGCTTTTTAATGCTCTGATCCAATGTTTAAGGATCACATACACTTCTGTTCTTCACTGTGTATCACAATGTGGCTGGTACTCACACATGCGAAAATCAGCAAACAACAATTTTACATAGCTTTCCTATAGAGGAACCATGAAAGCATTCCCTAGACGTACATGTCTGATAAGGGCCATAATTCTTTAGCTGCTCATTTGAAGATAAATATCTTATTGTACATATTTTCCAATTCTTTTCAAGACTGAATGGTTTATCTAAAATTGCCTATAAAGACTATGGGTATGGTTAAGAAGAGAAATATATTGTGACGTATTGTGACAATATTATAACAACAAAGGTTATTGCCCCCAGCATCATTATTAAAAATTTTGGAGAAGCCAGGTGCAGCGATCTTTAGGGTAGAAGACTATTTGAAACATGGAAAGAAGTGATACAGGTATAAGGAAATGGAGGTTGGGGCCAGAGCTAATCAATAGGATAAAGGAGAACAGTGTAAAGAATACTGACCATTTAAAGGTTCATTTTTCGAGGGCAGAGTGACAGGAAGAAATGGCTGTGGTTGAACGAACAGCAAGTGGGGGTTCCTCTGAAATACAGATATCTTTCTACCACACAACACACTGTCATATACTGGAAGAAAGTGATTTTCATATGACTTGTGTTTAGTCTTGAAATTTCTGTAATTACATGGCATCTGGCTGGAAAACATTTAAACTACTTCAAATCCATTGCATGCAGCAGTTAGTCAAGACACCACATTGTATTCTTTTGTCAGCATCTAGAGTACGAATGTAGCACTGAATGGCAGATGATTGATGAACTGGAAAGGATTTGGGAGGAAGGAGCTATGACCTATCCAAGGCGTGGGGGGGACTGAAAATCACAATAAACCTTGGACAGTGTAGCCACCGTCCTGGCTGAGAATGAAACCAAGCATCCCCCAAAAAACAACTGTACAGTGTTACTGTGGAGCCGGGATAGTGCAGTTGGTATAGCGATTGCCTATGGACTGAACAACTGAGGAGTCAGTGTTCGAGGCCTGGTAGGGTAAAGAATTTTCTCTCCTCCACATTATTCAGACCGGCTCTGGGGTCCACCCAACCTCTTATCCAATGGGTACAGGAACCTCTTTCCCAGGGGGTAAAGCTGGTCACTCACCTCCAACTAGTGCCGAGGTCAAGAAAATGCAGATTTATACATCCACTCCCCCATACACCTTCATGGTGTAGTGCTTAATTAAGCACAGGGACAGCTTTTCATTTTACAGTGCTACCGTTACACCAACTAGCTCAGTAAGTCACAATGTACGTCTAGTGCTGACAACTTTACACAGACCACAACTATTCTGTGGCAGTTCTACAAGAAACAGTTTGAAAACCACATGTTTAGAAGGGGATGTCAAGTAGAGTTTAAGTATTGTGCATTAGATTATAGTGAATTTGTAGGTGAACCTGCAGACAAAAGAAGGAATCTCTGTTACATACTACTCAAACTACTAGTCACCTGTTATTGTGTAGTTTTGTGACTGATGGACACTCAGTGATGATGGACACTTTCTAAGGTTACTGATGCTAGCACCTATCAATGAAAATGTGTGGTAATGTACTGTTCATATCTTGGTTACATTGTGTGCTGCTACACAAACTTACATTAGAAATGTACTGTATCGGATAATGCTGCTGGACTCGTCGCATATGCAATGTGAAGCACTAAGAATTTAGTGACAGTTTACTTTTACTGAACGCCTAATTTAAGGCGCCTTGATTTACTAGTTTCCCAGATTTAGGGCTTATGGTTTTAAAGTTTCATCCAATTTTCCAAAGTTTTTCAATTCCACTCCTTTCAAATGTTTCTCAATGAACAGCTGCAATCAAATGTCATAAACAGGAACCTTATATTAGGGTTTTATTGTATTTTTTTATTAAAAAAATAACAATGACTTCTGCTATACTCCTACTAAGCAACAAACATGTTATACACATTGCCCCCTTAAGCTATAAACAAAATTTGCTACCAATAAAGCAAGTAAGAAGAATACTGTGAAATAATGCCACATAGTCCAGTAGATGCCCACTGACATTATTCTGATATGTTGGACTTCTATTGGACTACATGGCATCATAAACACTGTACTCTTTATAGTCATTATGGTGAGAAGCTCAAATCCAGCACAAAGGGAAGGTTTCTATTGGAAAAATAAATAAACTATTTGAGACATTCTATAAATGAACTCTGGTTTCAATACACAATTGCTGTTTCCCTCCACCAGTCTGTCTACACTGCAACATACTTTTCAATCTCACAAGTGCACCAAGCACTTTGAGTTCAGAAGTTTCTGCTATAGAGTCTATAATTCAAGCTGCTGATTCGAGACTGGAGCACATGAATGAAAAGCTCAACTCTATAATATGCCATTTGCAAAACAGATGATAGAGAAACCACTATACAGTCAACAGGCCAATAATTTAGTCCCCAGTTGGATTACAATTCTTTATCTACACACATACACACAATACTTACTGGAATCTTTGTCAGACATTTCACAGGTGTATAGCTGGAACACACTTCTGGTATCACTTCGTTTTTCTGACTGGTCTGGAAGTTCAATGTTNATAATATGCCATTTGCAAAACAGATGATAGAGAAACCACTATATAGTCAACAGGCCAATAATTTAGTCCCCAGTTGGATTACAATTCTTTATCTACACACATACACACAATACTTACTGGAATCTTTGTCAGACATTTCACAGGTGTATAGCTGGAACACACTTCTGGTATCACTTCGTTTTTCTGACTGGTCTGGAAGTTCAATGTTTGTCTGCTCCTCATACAATGTCTTCCATAGTGCCAGCATACGTTTAGCAGTAAACAGTGCGGACTGCAAATTGGACACATTCCATATAATTTACAGAATATAAACGAGATTTAAAATGCTCATTATTATACTAGGTCGCGGGTTCATATACCAATGAGGTCACTGGATTTTTTTCAATTGACCTAAACCTTCCAGCCACACAAGGCCTTGGGGTTCACTCAGCCTCTAACAGAGATGAGTACCAGGAATTAATTAAATAATTTTCCTGGGGAGTAAAGCGCGGCCGGCGTGTAAGGCTGACAACCTTACCGCCATCTTTGAGACGATTGTCTAGACAATGTGGGACCCTCAATGTCTCAACCCTATGGGCCTTCACGGCCTGTTACAGGGATAGCTTTACTTTTTTTTTTTACTTTTACATTATTATACTATTTCTGATTTCAAATGTCATTATAGCAAATGTGGATCTCTTGGTTCAGAAACCAGAGAGTGTTTCTGCTTATACAGAAACAAAAACTGCGGAGAGTGGCTGGCAGAACGACATACAAATAGAATTTCAGGACTGGGATATAATAATTACCATGTTACCTTCATGTGGACCGCATATGAAATACATTTATGGACATAACATTAGATATGAGCTTTCATACCTACGAAACGAAAGTATGAAACTTACCTCTCCACCTTGACTTTGTAACTCAATGTGCGCTTTCACATAGAGCAAATTGAGGTTATCGGGATATTCTTCTAATGCAGCTTCAACCAGCTGCAGGGCCTCGGCATGTTGTTTCTGAGCAGAGAGGAGGAGTATAAGCAGATGCAGAGATGGCACGTGTTCTGCTCGAAGATTCAGCGCCATCTTCACGTGACTCATGGCTTCCCCAACTTGACACCCATATGCAAACTGCAGAGCCAGGTAGTATACTGCTAAGTGGTCATTGGGATCTGTCTGTTGGGCCCTACAATTGACACATGTAATAAATACTCTTCTGACACCTGAAAGAGACTTATATACTGCTTCTCTTTTTTGTGTCAATGTGGGCAAACAAGAATGGTTCAATGCGTGGTGCTGTT